ATATAGTTGGTACTAAATCTCTTATTAATTATATTTGCAATATTATTCCAAAAACTCACCCTACTACTTTTAGGAATATCATAATACTTAGCATTTCTATTTCTTCTTTTAGCAATTAATAAGTGCAATTGATCATTGGTCCACATCACTAAGATTCTAATGCGACTCAACCACGATACACCTGTTTTTCATAGAATTATATAGAAAAAAAATACTGTAACTCAACCGTGACTCAACAGTGATTAGTATCATTAGCTAACACAACCAAATTGATCATCAGATAATCACAGTATAGCATTCTAAAGAAGTATGATTTTTATCACATCTTGAACCGGGTGATCCAAAATAAAAAATTTCATATAGAATAGAAATCAAAAGGGGGAGATAAGTGGTTAGAATTACATTAAAAATTTATTAATATACGCACATTAAACAATGATCCAAAAGGTCAAGTCTCTGATTTTCTATAACATATGGCATAATATATAAAAATCAGATAAATATGAAACTAATTTCGGGTTTGGTGATCAATTCATTCATGAATTAATTAGTATGAGCTGGGGTTGCTTAATCTTCTATTGCTCTTGATTTTATAAGCTTCTTCGATTTTCTTCTTTGGTATGGCATGTGATATGTATTATGAAGTAATGGCACTTATGTGCCTGATCAAACATCTGTATTACACTCAATTTTATTACTAGTGTTACGGCTTTGGGAGAGCAAATATTTGTTTATTATTTACAGGAGAGTAACATTAATGTTATGTGTGTTCTATGTTATATATACGTTCAAAAAAGACTTGTCTCCTTTACTTCGGCAAGACTTATCCTTTAAATACATTCTCACTTACTAACTTACATATGACAAAATGAAGTAATTGATACTAAACGCTCATTGAATATAATCATAAAGAGAAAATATAAAAATAGAAAGATGAAGTAATTGTTCTGTAATCAGAGCCAGGTAACTATACAATCATCTAAATGTAATCATCAGCTACGTAATTCACGTGGCGTCGATTAAATTGGGCAAATTTTATCTGAAGACAAAATTTCTGTCACACTAGATATATCGAAAATTTACCAAAGAATAATAGGTAGATAGTCTCCCCATCTCACATGTATTTTTTTATTGTATTAATAAAACAATCGGGCCGGTCGTAACTACATAGTACAAAGTTTTTAATACATGCTGTTATTATTATAGGTATAAAAAAGCTAATTATTAGATGAGACATAGTCTCAAAGTTATACTTCTTTTATGAGAATATGAATCGAGATTCCGGTAGGACTTTTATCGAAATAATCACTGTTTTTTTTTCAGGTTCCATATGCACATATTCTCTACGTTCAATATCGACTGCACAAAAATTAAAGGAAACATTTCTATACTCATTAAAGTAGTAATCCCAGATTTTAGTATATAATGCATCAACAGATTCATTTTTAGAAATAGAAATTCTATTGGGCGTACTTCAGTATCTAAAAAATGCACTAGTAAAAATGACAAGAAATGTAAGATGGATATTATCTTTACCCATTTTTCTGTCAAACATAGAGTTCTCATTAGTTAGAATTTTATTAATGTTTTTATGACAAGACGAGCAAATAAATATACCTTTTTCTTTTAGATATGAGCAATAATGGAATGTATAATATAATTATAAGTATTTATATTTCTATTAAGATGCTGGTTCTGCTAATTCACAGATTAGTAATTGGGGGTATCATACAATTTATCTAAATTAATATATTCTTATTTTGTGATTGGTTAGTTACATAAAATCTATATCCAGTAAACAATTACATATTACATAGCTAAGCTCATTAAGAATGCAGATCGAAGGCGAGAATATTAATTGGGTTAGTTAGAAGAACAATTGATTATTTGAATTGGTTCACTATTCACGGAGGTTAATACACATTTTTTTCTTGGCAAAAGTGATCAGCATGAACAATATTTACGTATACATGATTTTTATTTACATGAGAAAAAATAAATTGCGATATTCATTAGTATATAGTTAATAAAATCTGTTAGGTTTATAAGACTTATATAATCACCAAACATACTAATAAATATATTAAATTTTTAAATATGTCAGGTCTTGTTATCCCTACTATTACTGATAAAAAAGCTAAATTGCAAAAACTCATTAATAATCATCCTGAATATGATATAAAATATATGGAATCGTATATTTACAAATATTGTGGTATTAATGATTATCAATGATTCTTTGATAAACTCTTTGAAACTGAAAAACAATATGATATACTATCAGTTATTTGACCTAATGAAACTCCACAACAATGGGCTATTCAAGTCAGAGTTTCTTTACAAGAGCTGGTCTCTGAAAAGAAAAGAAGCGTATATCACGTATATAGTTTATTTAGCAGATTAGAAAATTCTAAGCTAGTCAATCATGACTACTACAAACCTAGAATTCATAAGGCCAATGTGAGAATATGTCTAGATTGTATGAAGCTTATTCATGTTGATAATGTAAAACCAAAGAAAATATATGCTTCCACTCTCTATAGATATATTGAAAAGATTGACCAGCAGATTTGATAAAATATCATTGGGATCATGAATATAATAAACCTAAATCTCAAGATGGTTATGCACGAATTATTCAAAATGCTTAGAGACGATTTAAAGAAAGGGAGCTATCAAATGCATGACTTGTCTGGTTGAGTTTACTAAATGATAATATTCTAGATAATGAGAAATTTCTAGGCCTAACTTCTCATAAAGTGAAAAATCCTCAAACTTGAGATCAGTTCAATCTGTGGAATGCTGAGAAAATTGCAATGTATAGGAGATGTAACTCTAATATGGTCAGCTATTTTATTAATAATAAATATGAAGAATACTATATTCTGTATGATTGGATAGATAGAAAGAAAAACCAATTACAGAATAGATTTCAGAAACATCTTTTGAAATTAACAGTATAATATATATTTAAAGTTTTGCATATGAGCCTATTTTACAGAATACAAAAATCTCCTATTGTAGATAATATATAGAATGCACTTTTTTCAAAAATATGACGAGTTTATTTTTTTTACACCCACCTCAATTTCAACACCGGCTGGAGACGTGTATCTTTTCAATAATATAAAAAGTGGCGAGTAGGATGTGTTTATATTAATATGAGAAAATTATAGCAGAAAAAATAATTATTAATTGTCAAGCCTTATTTTATTTATCTAATTTCAATGGTGTGTCCCAACCCAATCTAATTGCGAGAGAATCATCAACTGCCTTAGTAAAGTCAAAGACCATGAAATCTTGATCCCGCAAATATTTATCAATAATTTTGGATGCTTTTTTCAGATTATCCATATATTGTCACACAATTCTATAAATGTTGTCTCGAGACCCCCTATTGTTAAATAATACAAGATGGCTTAGATTTTCACAAATAATTTTAGGAGTTTGTATATATTTCTGGCTTACATATATGGGTGAGATATTTTGATGCCGGCCACTAATTAAGTATAGAATAATTCATTCTTGTACTTTTTTTGGCTTAGCATATAAATCCTCAAACACAACAACTATACATCATTCTGGTGTGAATTTAGTTATATCTAGAATTTTATCTGAAGATAACCTTTTAAATATAACATCCTCTCGATATGGTTTTGGGCTATTTGCAAAGATCTGATAGCTATTTTGTACAAGTTGCTATTTAGGCTCAAAATGCTTGCCTATTAATACAAGGTCATCATTTTTAATATACCGCTAACCTTTTTTCCTCTTGAATATACATTGTAGTTTGTTACCAAGCATAAGATTTATAACTATGTTAGTTTTTCCACTATGAGAGCCTCCACATACCAGTAATCTGAATGGGGCATCTGGTGAATACTTATTACCTTTTATTCGTTCTAAGGATTTGTTAGATGTCTTGTCAATATTGTATACAAATATGGGTATTTTTTCTTCTTTTATCCTGATTAATTTAAGTAATACTTATGTGTTTATTCTTTATATGATAAATAACCTCTCTCTTGCAATTCACTTTTTATAAATGCATATAAATCTGAGTCGAATAGTATTTCAATCAGATCTATACCTTGCTTCTTGCATATCTCCCACTTTTTTTTGTTGCATGCCTTTTGCTTATCCAAATCAATTTGACCTCGCTTGTGGAATATTGCATTCTGATAATAGTGTTGTACTCTTTGATGCTCCTATGCCAGGCGCAATTCCTTGTTATACCCATCAAGTCTGAGTCTACCTAAAAATTTATCCGAACATGGTGGAAACTTCTTATCTAATAAATCCTCAAAGATGTATCTATGGCATTGCTCATTCTTATTGTGAAAACAAAGTGGACACCACTCAAATTTCATTGCAATCAATGAAAACAGGTACTCAAACTGATGCAGTCTATTTTCACAAGTTCAGAGGAATACATTCTGATTATTTATTCACTCAGTTTTAGCTAAGATACTTCCACCATGTCTTCCAGCATATCGTTGCACCCTGTCAAATTCATTATTAGAAACACGAATGAAATGTATCAATCCAGAGGGGTGATATTTTCATATAAACTCATCAGGTAGATACTCAACCTTTTCAGGATTCTTAATTACTTGGAGCTCCTCTCTCTTAAAAGGTCTTTTGGGATTACAATCTATTAAATATTTAGTTAAATCAATTGGCTCATCCTCAAGATAGTATAAGACTGGCTATGGTAGATTTTTACTAACAATAACTTTTTTGATTTTATAGATACGCAATAACTAACATGGGTTAGTTTTTCTATGCATATGTCCTCCTTCTAGCTTACCGGGTTTTAATAGATATCTTACTGTGAGCCCCTTCTGTAATCGTGGTTTATCCTTTCCAATAAGTCTTTTAAGTTTGGTAGATACTTTAGGTATTACTTCTTTCAATAACATTGCATATGATGGCGACATGCCTATTAATCGAGTTTTATTATTATTCATATAGTCGATAATTTTTTGAAGTATTTTGTTTCATAATTTTGAGCATTCACCTTCTTTGAGTTTTCCCTCTATGGCATATTGAATTTTGAATATAAGTCTCACCAAATCTTGTTTGAATTTTTTAACTAATACTAAGCTCTCAAAGCTATAAAGATTGACAACTCTTATAGGAACATTATATCGCTTCATTCCTTTCACAAATGTTCCTTTAAACTCACCAACACCATCAACTATCAACAACGCTGGCCACTTGAGAGGATTTTTGGGATCATTGTATATTTTTTTAATCGTGTTCTAAATCTCTAAGCTAGTCTTTGATGTTAATACTACTGCATATTTATATCTAGTTGCCACGTTTATCAGCACCAAAGTGTATAAATATATTTTTCCTCTTTTCTGATCATCATGGACATGGGGGAGTAGATCACATTAATGTAATTTATTAGGAATTCAGCATTTAGAAAAGCTAGCCTGGGCCTTAATCTTTGGTGGGTGTTGATATATTGGTAATTATACTGATTCTCTAACTAGTTTGTGATATCTTTAAGTCGAAAATGAGTATATCCTTCTTTTATACATATTTTTTGTATTTTTCTAGGATTATAATAAAAGCCAGGCACATTATAGTAGATTATACGAAGAACAATTTGCAATTCCTCATTAGGGTCTATAATAATAATAGGTTCACTCATATACAAAAAACTAATTTTTCGATTCTTGTTTATTATATTATAAAATACTACAATGATACCAGAAATTAGCACAAATAGACTAGCTCAAGCTAAAGATAGTTTGCAGATAATAAAAAATCGATTTTGTAAATTACAACAGAATCTAGCCTTAAAAGAAGATTATATTAAATATCTCGAAAAAGAAATTTGATTTGAGATAGAGATTTGGATCCATTGTGACAAGAAATTTCTAATTTTAAAGAATGGTTAGAAAAGGCACTTCAAGATTCTAAAAGCTGAGAGAATTATGTTGATTATTTAGAAAAGCAGTTGGTATTTTTTTAGAATGAAATAGACAAGCTTAATAAAAAAATACTTGTTTTGTATAAAAATTCCAATAATACTATAGAGATGGCACAACAATCAGAATTACCTAGATTATCTCTATCTGAAAATCAAGCCACGATCCAAAATAATAGAATTCAGCGAGAGATTAATAATATTAGATAGTATTTTTAAAGCTCAGTCACAATAGCATCTACAATAAATAGTATTGTAGATTATCTTAATATAATTTCAGATGCTAGCAATAAGTTTGAAAGATTGGTACTAGATATATATCTACAGACGAATACTCGCACAATTAATGCAGAAAATCAAGTAGCAGATTTGCAAACCCAGTTAGCTAATTCACAAACCTAGTTAGCCGATTTACAAACCCAGTTAACCGATTCACAAACCCAGTTAGCTATACTCCAAAATGACTATGGCCTTCTTCACCAGACTTATGAGGCCTACAGAACACAACATAGTATATTTAAATCTTAAAAACTTGATGGTCGAATTACAATCTGTACGCAAAAAAGACAAATATCGGAGTTGTTAGCAGAAAAATTTATATTGTGCCTTTTGAATAGACAAACTCAAAAGCAATTACAAAATTGTGAAGCTGATAGAGTGACAACCGCATATCTCTTAAATCTTACAAGAAATCGATATATCAAATAGAAGAGAAAATGCAAGACTTTAAAAAATGACCTATTACTTGCCGATGTTCAACTGAACAACAAGTGGGGTAAATAGAAAAATCGTGCTCAAAATTTTGAACAATTAATAAATAATTTACAAGCACAAATTTTATTGTTATATAATAATTCACCAAATATGGCTACAGTTGCAGGAGACTTAACCAGTATTGCATCATTAATTGTAGAGATTCCAAATTATAGTGAACAAATTTCACCAGATAAATGGTATCAAAGAATTAATCAAATATTAACTTTACTATCGATTACTGCAGCTGCCTTTGATAATCCGCTTCAAGCAGATATTTTAAAAAGTAAGATAGCTGAAAAATATACAAATATACCCGCTCAACATGCTAGTAATAATATTGATACCCCAGCCTGTTTCATTATTTGGTTGCATCATAAATATTAAACAGAAACAGTTGGTATACAACAAGTCACTACTCAATGATTAGCACAAAAAAAATTCTTACTATTTGATAATCCAGAATCATATGAAGCTAGAATCTATTCTCTTTTATTAGAGATTGCTAATGGTAATACCAATATCTTAGGACTTCTTAAGGGCTATTTATCGGAAGAGCTTTATACTTGGATAAAAATTGCTAATCCTGCTGACATTAATGCATTTTTTACAGAACTTAAAAATATGTGATTAGAATGTTCTCCAAATTTGTATAAAGGCTCCATTCCTGACCAAATCTCTCAAACTTCAGCTGTTAATATACAAAATAAATCACATTTCGATAGTAGTAGTATATCTCGAGCTAAACTAGATAGTATAATAAAATCACAATTAGCTTTAGTACCAACTACTTCTATTTAGTCTTCACAACTCCAGAAAACACAAGCTTTACAGTCTTAGCAAAAGCAACCCAATTTCAGTAACTACCTTAGAGTACCAGATAAATATATACCAGAAAGACCACTAGATGGGTATGGTAAAAAATTTATTCATTGTGATCTTATAAACCCAACTCCTTTAGCCAGCCAAATTATAGAATCTTTAGCTAATAATCTTTATAAAAAAGTGTCAGATATGTTTTTGGCAAAGCCAGTGTAATTAAAGAAAAATATTAAAGTTAACTCTGACAAAGAACTAGCTGATTGTATGGGTAAGTTATCAATAAATAAGGCTTTGTCAAAAGGTTTTGAGGCAGGAGTTTATGCTGTTATTAAATTATCCAAACACCATTGTTCAAATTGTAATAGAACTGAACACAATTCTTATAAGTGTTCTAAAAAGAAATCTAAGAATTCCAAGAGATCTAGCAAGAATAAAAAAGGTAAGATTAATATGGCTATCAATATTTCTGGTTCTGATTCAGATTCTAACTCTTCTGATAATAATTCTGATTCTGGGTCTGATTCTGATAACACCTCCTCTGAAACTGAGAGTATGAATATTAACATTACCAGAGCAAAAAAAAATTAAACCAGAAGAGTAGTTCGAGCAAATTATTATCTAAGAAGGTATCCAAATCTTACAAGATCGATAAGAAACCTAAGTCTCGCAAGAGAGTAGGAGTAAGCAAACAGTTTTAGAACAAACTATTCGTAAAATTATCCAAAGTGAACTTAAAGATATTTTACCTTCATTATTGCAGGAGCTCAATTTTAATAATGAAAAATCATACCATATTCAAGATAATAATTATTGAGAACCAGCTTTAGAGATATTCAATTCAGATGAAGATGAGACTTTGGATGACCCTATGGAAATTGATTTTGTTTGTCAGAAAGAACCCAATACAGGAATTGCGACTATACTATGCAAAATTAAGCATTTAAAAATCCCAGCAATGATACTCAATAGTAGGGCCAAAACTGAGATCATAACAGAAGATATTGTTAAGTGTATAAATGGAAAAATTGATAGATCTGTGAAGTATGACCTTAGTGATATTGCTACCATTCTAATTGAGTCTATTGGCATCATTTGTAATTTACCAATAACACTAACTCCTGATTGTATTATATATAAGAATTTTGTAGTTGTGAAACATTCCAAGCCAATATTAATATTTTCAAACTGACTTCTCAAGAAATATGAATGTGTTATTGATTAGAATAATGATAAAATGAAGATTCATCACAATGGAAAAGATTACATTTTCCCTGTAACTATGTATAAAGTCAAGAATAAACTTGAGATAAATTGCACAAATGTAGTTCAAGATAGTAAGACTTTGATATCAGATCAAATTTCTCAGAAGATAAATGGAAATGAGGATGACAGTATACCATTTGATGAGTGGTGTGCTCCTGCGGATTTTAGCTTAGATTCTGTCAATTTAACTTTAGCAAGCAAGTACTAAAAGTGCTAAAAAAAAATGCATGAGTTATAAGGAGTTAGAAAAATCACTATATACTACTCTCAAGTCTAAAGCTAAAATAAATAATCTTTGTGAAAAGTTGCAAATGCATTATGAAAAGCTACTTGAACATATCTCTACTAGAGATAATATTATAGATTAAGTAGTAGCTAATAGGCGAGTCATATTTGCTTTATTTTTCTCATCTCTTCTGGCTTC